CTGGCTTACAGAACAAAGACGGTTTTACTAATTTGCAATCTAATAGGGATGAGTCGGCAACTTGTACCACTGTCCTACTATCATATTTTAAAGCAGTTTTTGGTGAAATAACGGAGCCAGCCATGAGGCCGAAAGCGCTGTGGCTTCATCTATAACTCGACTGCTGTTTTTAGGGACTACATTCCAGTTTGGCTAAGGTGTTTTTCTTGGGAGGGATATTTGCAAAATATCTCAGTTTTTGAGATAATTCTAAATGAGGCTAGAGCAGGGGCCGAGGAGGAGGTGGACACCAAGGGACTCAAAGGCTGCCCTACCACACCTTCTCCCAATATCCATGCTTACCCGGGCTCAAGACAACCATCCTTTCTGTTTATTGACCCCCGTCTTGTTTATCTTCATTATTTCAAGGAGTCTTGCAGAATAGATAAGGACTGATAAAGGTGAAAGAAGAGGAGATGGAGTTTCATCCTAAGTGTTGGAAAACACTGGACTCTTATCTTGACAAACCACATAAATTATCTATAAGGGGGTCACACATTTATTGAGTTCTTACAAGGACACCTGGCATAGTCTTCTATAGTTTCTGTTTTTGTTCTTGCTTTAGGGATGAACTCTGAGCAGGGATAATTTTAAAGCTCCATCAACTCTGATATAAATTTTACTTTTGGGATATTATAGTGTTTTTTTTTATAATAATATATTTCATTTATTTATATAGTGCCATGCTTTTCAAGGAGTTTTTTTTTTTTTTCTTGCACATCATCTTTGATTCTTAAAATAGTTCAGGAAGTATATGGGATAGAAATTATCTCTAATTCACAATTATGAAATAGGCTCAGAAGAACAAAAAGTGGCTTTCCCAAAACATGCTTGATCCTTAATTATTTATTTACCTAAAGAGTAACAAAGCCAGAAACATGATCAAAATTCAGTTCTCCTAACTCCTGCTATTTTGTAAGGTGTTTTGAATATGAAAATCATTCATACCATCAAAGGAAAATACAGTTCATGTATTTCACATTATTTGGGGATGTGAATTTTACTACAACAACGATAGCTGTGATTAATTAAACTTCTTTACAGTGCCAACAATATTTACAAGGTAGGTTTTACATTTTATAGATGAGAATATCCAACATATTAAACAACTTGCTTAAGACTACAGTTAAGTAGGGGACTGAGCTGGGGTTGGAATTTTGGTATGTCATAATGCAAAACTCTTCACGCTGCTTCATGCCTAAGGCATAATCAAGGGAGTTGAAGGAACTATTCAAGAGATAGGCCATTTGTAAAATTTTATAACATTAGAATTTTTTTTAACAAAGGTTATTAGCAAAGAAATAATTGGCAGTTTTGATTAAATTAAGATGCTTTAAATTACTGCCAATTTCAGTCAGATAAAATCCAAAGAATATATTCTGATTTTTGAAGGGGACACCTAATCTAGTCTTAGTAAGAAATACCTAAAAAAGTAAATAAATAAATTGTGTTATATATGTGTGTCAATGAAACACAATGAATGCCCAGTTGATAAAAAAGAATGGTCAGGGATTGTTCCTAGTTTGGGAGAGGCCCTAAATTCCACATAGGCTGGAAGCTGTCCATGTATCCATTTGAACAGATAAATAACACACAAAAATTATCAGCATGAAATACATAAAATGTCTCTAGAAAAAGTTTAAGCCCTTGGAAGAGACAATTAAGGATTTAGATACAAGTAAAAAAAAAAGAAATATGAAAACTAATGTGGTCAGAAACACCTGGGTGTTAGAATAGATAAAAATAAATCCACCTTTATATGTTTACAGCATTATGAGAAATGGAGTAAAACTATTTTGGACGTTTTATGATAAAGGTACTTCTAATGGAGAATGACAACAACAATGTAAACAGATAGGTGGTATTATAACTCCACTATGGGATTATACAGACTAGTCCTGTGGTTGTCAAATTGCGGCTCTTTGCCCCCTTGAGTGTGGCTCTTCCACAAAATACCACAGCCTGGGCTAGTCTATTTTGAAGAAGGGCATTAGAAGAAGTTTAAGTTTTAAAAATTTGGCTCTCAAAAGAAATTTCAATCGTATTGTTGATAGTTGGCTCTGTTGACTAATGAGTTTGCCTACCATTGGCCTATTTTTTGAAACTTTTCCAATGTCAACTCAGTTCCTACCATGCACCATGAGGGCTGGTAGACATTACCCACCACAGCTATGGTGAGCGGTCAGCTGAATAAAATGTCTGGGTGTTCTATCAACAAAAACTGAGAAAAAAATCAAAATCAACCAGCTTATTCATATAAGCATATGATCTTACTAAACAACTGCTATAGCAAGACGTGGCTGATATCAATTGCTTATAATATCAGAAAGGTAAATATAAATAAAAACTTGAGCTGTTTATTTATAATTAGAGGTCAGAGCATGAAATTTGTGCACCGGTGGGGTCTCTAGGCCTGGCCAGCAATCAGGGCCAATCAAATTGCCTGCCTCCCTACGTCCTCCTTCCCTTTGCTAACCACACATTGCCATGGCACAGTTCCCTGCCTCCTCCTTCTCTTCCTGCCTCCTCCTTTCCTCCCCGCCTAAGTCCGCCACCACACCTCCCCAGTTCCTCATCCCAGCCCAGGCCTGGCCCCAATTGGGCAATCAGGGCCTGTTGGCTTCGGGGGAAGGGGGAGCACCTACCACCAGCCTGGGGAAGAAACCCAGGAGGTTGGCCGCCAGTCCCAAGGAGGACTTGTGGGAAAGAGACTGAGTCTGCCACCACCCACCCCCCGTTTCCCATTCCAACCTGGGGCCCAGCCCTAATCAGGTCATTGGGGCCTGCCAGCCAGAGGTAGGTACCAGGTGGTTGGCAGGCAGGCCCCATCAGTGATCAGTGCCTGAGGGTTGAGGGCAGCTCCTGCAATAAGCGTCTTACCCCTGGTGGTCAGTGTGTGTCATAGCAACTGATAGTTCCATTAGTTCAGTCAAAATGGATGCTTAGGCATATATATATATGTGTGTGTGTGTGTGTATATATATATATATATATATATATATATATATATATATATATATATCCACCAATAGATAGAAATAAAAGAAATAACGAGCTGAAAGTTTTGTTTTGTTTTAAGTGGGAGCATAGTCAATGAGTCCCTGTTGGTTTTCAAGTTCACTAGCCCTGAAAAAAATGACAAGAAGCTTTCTTAACTGAAGGCTGGATCCTGACCAGCTCCAGGGTTTCTTCTAGCTCAAGAGTCTGCCAAAACACTATTTCAACTTTTTATTTCTTCTCCCCCTACTGGCAGAGGTGAGCCAATTCACTTAAGAACTCAAGAAAGGAGGAGACCAGAGTATAGCCAAGTTCCTTTCTTTTAATGAAGTGCACCAGTGCTAAATCACTGGTGGGAAAATTAAATATCAGGGGATAATAACCTCTTAACAGATCATGATGTTCTTCAGCCAAAACTTCTACAGTATATCGTGTGCATATGTTATATTCTATAGAAAGCCAAAAAAGGGAAGAGGGCTTTCAGAGTATTTACTCTTCAGAAGGGTTTTCAAATACCAGAGGCCCAGTGCATGAAATTTTTCCGGGGGGGGGGGTGGTCCCTCAGCTCAGCCTACACCCTCTCCAATCTGGGACCCTTCAAGGGATATCCGACTTCCCATTTAGGCCCAATCCTACTGGGCATGATACATGGGTGGGAGTCGGCTGGTTTGCCCTGAAGGGTGTCCCAGAGCAGAATAGGGGGTCCCTTGGGGCGTGGGGCAGCCTGGGCGAGGGGCCTGTGGTAGTTTGCAGGCCGGCCACGCCCTCCGGTGACCCAACCGGGATCAGGCCTAAACGAACAGTCAAACATCCCTCTCACAATCCAGGACTGCTAGCTCCAAAATGCTTGCCTGCCTGCCTTCCTGATTGCCCCTAACTGCTTCTGCTACCAGCCTGATCACCTCCTAACTGCTCCCCTGACAGCCTGATTGCCCCTAACTGCCCTCCCCTTCTGGCCTGGTCACCCAAAACTGCTCTCCCCTGCAGGGCCTGGGATCCCCCAACTTGTCCTTCCCTGCAGGCCCAGTCACCCCCAACTTCCCTCCTCTGCTGGCCTGGTTACCCCTAACTGCCCTCCCCTGCGGGCCTGATCGCACCCAACTGCCCTCCCTTGCAGGCCTGGTCCTTCCCAACTGCCCTCCTCTGCTGGCCATCTTGTGGTGGCCATCTTGTGTCCACATGGGGGCAGCCATCTTTGACCTCATGGGGGTAGCCATTTTGTTTGTTGCAGGATGGTCAATTTGCATGTTACTCTTTTATTAGATTGGATAGAGGCCTGGTACATGGGTGGGAGCTGGCTGGTTTGCCCTGAAGGGTGTCCTGGAACAGAATGGGAGTTCCCTTGGGGTATGGGGCAGCCTGGGTGGTGGTTTGCAGGCTGGCCATGTCCCCCGGTGACCCAAGCGGAGGCCTTGGTATCTGGGACTTATTTATTTTCTATAATTGAAACTATTTAGCCTTGAGCAGAGGTCAGGGCTAGCCAGGCAGGGTGGGAAGCTTGGTTTCCTCCATCGTCAGGGGCAACTGAAGCCTCCTGCTATCTCTAGCTCTGTGGCTGCTGCCATTTTTGTTGAGATTTATTTATCTTATATAATTGAAACTTTGTAGCCTTGAGCAGAGGTCAGGGCTGGCCAGGGCAGGGCGGGAAGCTTGGCTTCCTCCATTGCCTGAGACAACCCAAGCCTCCTGTTCTCTCTGTGACCATAGTCATCTTGTTTGGGTTAATTTGCATACTTGCTGCTGATTGGCTGGTGGGCATGGTTTGTGGGCGTAGCAGATGCACAGTCAATTTACATGTTTATTTTTTATTAGTGTAGATGTCTTTTTTTTTTTTCCCCTATTTCCTCTCAATGTTCTGCCTCTAGAAAGGGTGTTTGAGGGTGGAAGGTGATATACGTTGGTGGGGGCTCAGGATATAAAGTCTCACACTCATTCATCTCAGCATTGAAAAAACCCAGTCTTACCTCTCTCATCCACTCTCGAATCGTTTTGCCAGCTTCTTGATGCCACACATTGTGACAAGAGTCTGTCAGCGCTACAGCAGTTACCTTGTTTTTTACATCTGCTTCTCGTTGAATCATCTGTTTCAAAAAAAATATATATTGGCTATAATTTTTTTCTACTGGGTGCAGCCTGCTTAGTCATAGATAATAATATTGTATTAAAAATACAAAAGCAATATGCATCTCTTGTTCCAAGTTATTCTTTCTACATGAAATACATGCCTTATTCTTGTCCAGAGATATGAAAAGACCTAATATTTTATTTTAAAAAGATAATTTCACTTTAGTCTTAGAACTATGCAGCTCTGTCATTTTCTATGTGGTTTGACAATTCAAGGATTAAAGGGACCATAGGGGGAAGAAAGAGGATGTCCTGGGGGTTCCTTTCACCAGTTTCTTCTACCCGGTCCTATTTCAGTGCTTTGGGGAAGTTAGTACCCATAGCTCACTGTTAGCAACAGGACTAATTCATGTTAATTTTCAGTTGATGGCACATCAGTAAAAAATGATATCTTGCTTTAACTTCTAGTTAACTAGCCCGTTCTTCACCATGGCTTTGTAATTTCTTGGTGTTTTATATGCCCACAAAGATCTCCTTCTTCAAAGCCTAGCAATATAAATCTGCTTTCTAATATATTTATTTATGTCAAGGAACTATTCACTTTAACTTCTTCCTGAAGAATGATATTTTTAGAAAATTAAGTGGTTATCAAAATTGAAAAAGAGCCGCTTGAAGAAACCTATGAATTAATCAGTGGTCTATAAGATAAAGAAATTGAAAAATAAAAGTTCCAGATTAAAAGAATCATAAAAAGTTTTAATTTACTAACACTAGTGACCCTAATTTAACAAATGTAAGAAAGCTTAATAAAAGTTAGTTAAAATACAATAAGTAGAAGCTTTGATGTTACAGCATGCTCCATTTCCTTATATCAGACTAGTGGCCCAGTGCACGAAATTAGGGCCTAAACTGGCAGCCGGACATCCCTTCTGCAATCTGGGACCACTGGCTCCTAACCACTCACCTGCCTGCCTGCCTGATTGCCCCAACCACTCTGACTTCCAGCCTGTTCACTCCCAACTTTCTCCCAGCCAGCCTGCTTGTACCCAACTGCCCTTCCCTGCTGGTCTGATTGCCCCCAACTTCACCCCCCTCCCAGCCTACTTGCCCCCAACTGCTGGGCTACTTGTCCCCAAACCCCCTGCCTTACTGGACTGCTCTCCCTCAACTGTGCTGCCCCCGCCAGCCTTCTCACCTCCAACTCCCCTCCCCTGCCAGCCTGATCACCTCTAACCATCTCTGCCTTGGTCCCGCCACCATGGCTTTGTCTAGAAGGATGCCTGGAAGATCTCCTGGTCTAATTAGCATGTTACTCTTTTATTAGTATAGATGTTTCTTTCTCCCTCTAAAAAAAGCGATTTCTCTATAATTTAGTTAATTTTATTAATTTTATATAAAAATATAGTATTACATTTCAAAAAGGAAGCATTCTGAATGGTGATGAAAGCTTGTAGGAAAAACATTGCAAGCTATACTTCGGGTATCAAACGATGCTTGTTGGCATTCTGAATTAAAAATGTCTTTCTCGCTTTTAAGTTTCTTTAAACCCTGCATTTGCACATCCCCTTCCACTGAGCACTACCTACCTAATAGGAATCTATTCACGTTAATGCTGCCTCAGCAGCATCTCTGCACCTTAATCTCCATTCACAGTGTTTTCTGCTTATATAATACGGAAATCTTAAAATCAATGTCGGTTATCAACATGTAATATCACTACAAAAATTCACCTTGCAATACCAATAATATTTTTAAGAACATAAAATAATATGCTAATTCAATTCTTCACATATATTATTAAGTAGTTTGCTACCTTCTTCTAAATTATATTTTACAAACAGACTCTCATTGGATCATGTTGGCACTAGCATATAAAAATTTAAACCAACATAAGATAATAAAAAGCAAACTTCCACAATAGTGACTCCACCTGGCTTACAAAGAACTTACATTCCCTTACTCTAAAGAGTAACACTTTTGGAGATCTTGGGTGATTGTTGCTGAAGTTACAAAATAAGAACATGCTCTCTAGTTCTCTAAGAATATGTCTGCATTTTAAAATATCAACCTTGGATTTTGTTGTTAATAGACGCTAATTTATTTAAGGTAGTAGTTTCTGAAGATACTAAAATATTGAGGACTGTTGGTGAATTGATAAAAAACTAAGTGTGAAATAGGCTGATGATTTAGAAGCAAAAGTAGAAAATCTGGGGATTAAAACCTGGAAGAATATTTATTTGTTACATGGACTAACAGAGAAAAAGAACTTTGGCTTGTCTGTCCATAGCTCTGGCATTGCAACTTTTCTTTACATCACATCAAATCATATTATAATCCAGCATGATAACTTCATATACTGTTACAGTATTTGACATCTTAAAAATCAGTTTATATTATATTATTAAAGGTGGGAGATGGTTAAATCACAGAGGATCTCAATGAAGAGCTTCTTACAAATAATTTCAAATATTTGACTGTTTAGGATTAGAACTGTAATTTTCACAATTAGAAAATCTTAACAGTTTAGTTTCTCAGACTATTGGCCTTTTTCAGCCTTGCTGCGACTTCATCTGCTAATAATGGAACTACCTGCAACTGCCACTTCTGTCCAAAGCCTTCGTCTGCTTCTTACATTTGTTAGCCGGGTTCATGCCTCCCCGCTTCCCTCCCCTCACCTCCGTACCCCATTCCTTACTGCCTGCACTGTGATGAGCACTGATGAAAAGTATAGAGAATGGCAATAGTGGGGGTAGGCTGAACACAGGGATTAAGGTTGTTTAAGAGACAGACCTTAGACAGATGTAGCTAAAGCAAGGAATAAGTGGAGGCCATAATAGTCTGTAAAACCCAGAAATCTGAAAGTGAGGAAGCCTTATCACCAAAGTCTTACTAAATGTCAATCATATGAACACCTTTCAAATTCCCTGCAAAATTCTGTTTATAAAATATACACATATTTTTCTGGGAGAAGATTCTTAGTTTTCATCTAGATTTTCTATCAGTCTCTAAAAATGATAAAGGACCATGTGATTTAAATGTCTCCAATGCATTCTTGAATCAACTATGAAATACCTGTTAAATGCGTCCTTCAAATAATTACAATTACATGAATTTAACATGTATATCAATATTTCAAGCAGAAAGGATATTCCATCTTTGTTTTCATATTTTTAATATAGTATCAAGAACTGGATAAAGTAATAAGTAACTTTGATATCCCAGACATCAACATCCAAAAGTTCCATGGTTTAATAGGCTATGTGTATGGTACGGTTACAATATTGTTTTTACTTGTGTTTGTATAATTTTGAATTATATCTGAACAGCACTGCAAACATTTCAAAATGAATACATATTCATTCTCACTTTATTCTGAAATAATATGAAATATATGTAAAACTTGTATTATTTTTACATTTGAAGAAGATGAAACTGAGTGGAGAAATTGGATAAGGGTCACACAGATACAAAGTGACACTTGACCATGACTTTTGTTCTGTGTTCTTTCATCTATATCACATAGATGTTTCTCAGTAACATACCATAATACTCATATAAATGAACTCATTTGGTTAATTCCCTTTTCATGTGTACAGCATTTCAATGGCTTGGACAATTATTTTTAAAGATGAAAAAAAATCTAAGGCCAGACCAGTAAGGATTGTTGAGAAATTATAAAAATCATGCCGCCCAGCTGTGTGGCTCCATGGTTGAGCAACTTGAAGATTAGCCTATGACCCAGGAGGTCATGGTTAGATTCCCAGTCAGGATACATGCCCAGGTTGTGGGCTTTCAGGAGGCAGCCGATCAATGATTCTTTCTCATCATTGATGTTTCTCACTCCCTTTCTTTCCCTCTTCCTTCCTTTCTTTAAAATCAATAAAAACATATTTAAAAAATCAGGGCAAGATGGGAATTACCCATGATCAAAAATAGACCATCAACAGCACTTAAAAATTATCATTACAGTTCTAAAATGAGAAGTTTCTAGGATAAGATGGAAAATTAGTATTTCTGTAAGCCATGTTGATGATTTGAGAATATAAAACATTTGATGCTGTCACCTGATATTTTTGCTTCCCCTTCTTAATTATACCCATTTATTTATTCATAGTCTTCTCCACCTTGGCTTATACACAATTAATCTATTTTCTTCATGGTATTGCATGATCCAAGTCTGACAAAATCTGAACTCACCCAATAAATATCAAGTTCTCTGAACAGATTAAAAACACATACCATCCATTTGTAGGCTCATCTTGTTACTAAATTTTTTTTATGAGGTTGAAATTGAAGAGAAACAAGAAACCTTCTATTGTTGTTATTTTTTTCTCCCACGGTAAAAGTAAGATTTTAAACATTAAGTCACTGTAACAAAGTAGGAAAGCTAAGAGTATTTGTTGAGAGTATTTTCAAGATGAAGACCAGAGGACCAGAGGGGTAGCTGCTGTTACCTTTGCTCCCCTCCTTGGGCCCTAGGGTCCTTGCCCGGGGCTGCTATCATCCCTCCCCAGAAATCAGGTAGATCTTTTCTATCCACCCACCTTACCATGCTTTCTCCAAGGCCCTCAACTATCTTCCCAAGTATCCGGCCAAATCCAAATACTTCCTATCACCTTAAAAGTTCCTTATTTCTCTTTTTGTACCTACAAGCTGTTTTAACTTTTCCTTGGCTTTCACTTCTTTCAGAACTCCATTTACTACTTTTAGCAAAGTCTTTATGTTTTACAAAGACTTTTTAGTTCTACAAAATTAAATTAAATTAAAAAGTTGCCATTCATTTGTCTCAGAAGATAAGCTTTGGAGGCAGGGAGATGATGATGTGATGGGGAAGCTTTGTCATGTACTCGTTGGAAGTAATTTCATATCTCTTGGAAATAGCTGAGGGCTTTGGGTTTTGGAAATTATGAATCCAACCTACTACAAGGGTCAATACTCCCAACCTAAAGAAGAAGTGAACCGTAAACTGGGTTGCCTTCGACCAAACTTAAGGGAAGAAATAGATAATTTCACTTTC